CCACCCCAGCTTGGTGCTGAGCTGGCACCAGGCTGGTTGCCCCCCACCCCCCCAGCTCTCGGGCGCCCTTCATGGGTCCGCTCCAGTCAGGCAAGCTGCCCGTGTGTGACCCCCTGGGCTGGGAGGGTGGCTGGGCCAGCCCCCGCGGGCACTGGGTCCTGGCTGTCCCCCCAGCCCTGGGCACATAGGAGATGCTCCTCCAGCCCCCCGGGATCTGGCTGAGATAGGGGCTGATTTCCTTCCCCCCTGCCCGAGCCACTCAGTCCAGGGAGGGGGTTTCCTCCCCGCCCCCTTGGCGTAGCAGTGCCCACCCGGGCCGGCATCAGACCAAAGCACCCCCCCGGCACCACAGGCCTGGGGTTTTGTACATTTATTCCCGACCGCATCCGCGTTTGTACAGACTAAGGGCGCCAATAAACCCGCTGTGTTTGTACCCCGAGCGGTGTTGTGAGTTGACGGGCTGGGGGGGACAGCCCCGGCACCTCTGTCCGGTTGGGCTCGAGGAAGACGGCAGCCTCCGACGTGGCTAAGAGTCTACTGCAGCAGTAGTAGGGCTTTTATCCTCACTTCTCTGGGGTCCCATCGGTAGCATGTGGGGGGTGCTGTGCCCCTGCCTGCTGTCATGGGCCCCCGTTGTGTCTGAGAATGGGCACAACTCGCTGCAGCGATGAGCTGAGAACACGCTCGGTCCTCCGGCACGGTGGACCCACGGTCCTGGCCTTCAACCCCTCGTTGTCTGGGCCACACTCCGGTCGAGCCGGCTCCGGGCCGCTGCCTCGTGGTTCGGGGCTGGGGGAGATGGGGCCCCCCTGGCCCTTCAGTCCCCGGGCTCCTTGGGCACCTTCACCACGAGCTGCATGGGGTCGCGGGCCTTGTTGCGGTAGGCCTGGCGGATGATGTCCACGGCGCGCCCATGTGTCACGTTCTGCAGGCTCTCGCCGTCCACCGACACCACCTCGTAGCCGGCCTGGCGGGGGCAGAGAGCGGGGCGGGGGGCAGGTGGGAGAGATGCTCTGACTTGCCCCCCACCCCTGCCCAGCCTGGTGCCCACCCTGGTACCTGCAGGCCTCCGCTCAGGAAGGCTGCTCCTCCAGGGAAGATCTTCTCGATCTTCACCATCGGCTGCAGCTTGGATTCGATCCCACCTGAGATGCTGATCCCTGCGGGGGGGGGCAAGGGGTGTTAACGGGGGAGAGCCCCTTGCTGGAGATGGGGTGAACACATCCTGCCAGGGTCCACCTAGGCGCCCACTGGGCTCCTCATGCACCACCCGGCTGAGCTGCCACGGCTTCAGCCTTGCTCCGTGCCCCAGCCTGGCACGCACTGCAGCAGCCCTGTGCAAACCAGCCCAGACTACCCCCCTGGACAAGTGCAAAGTCCTGCGCTGAGGAGGGAGCAATCCCATGCACTGGGGCGGGCTGGGGCTGGTGCCACCAGGAGCATTGGCACAGCCCAGCCCCATCCCCAGGGCTGCAGCCAGCACCCAGCGCCTTAACACTCACCCAGCGATTGCTTGCGCTTGGAGACGCGGACGGTGCGCAGCTCGTACTGGGGCTCCGGTGCCTCGCTGGGCCCGTTCTGGGCTGGCTCCGGGCCCCCTTTGCCGTCGGTGAACAGCCGGGCTAGCGGGGGCCGGGTGTAGCGAGCCTTGCCCACCACCGAGTACTGCGCACCCGTGGGTGTCCCCGTGGCCTGACCACGGCTGGAGCGGGCTGTCCGTGGCCGGCCCTTGCCCGGGCGCCCGTCGCCTTGCTCCGGGCCCCCGCCTGGTGCTGGGGTGGGGGGGGCCTCGGTAAGCAGCCAGTTGGGGCGGGCGTGGGGGGTGCCGAGTGGCTCGGCTGGGGC